CTACAAGGCCCCTTCCACCCCTACTTCTATGATTCTATGGCAGCAGCGGCTCCATCATGGATGTGAGCCCCACCAATCAGAGGGACTCAGGCTGGTGGGCAGCGGGGAAGGGGCTTGAATGTGTCAGCTAGCTGAGCCAAGCATGCAGCTGGGGAAATAGCTGCTGCCTTGTGGCCCCTTTTATGTACTGGAGAGCGGTGCCCAGGCTGGCCATAGTTTCTGCAGCAGCGCGCACAGTGTGGGCTTATCCCTTCAGCCTGAACCCTATTACCTGTGGCTGCTGGGCACCAGGCTGGGCATGCGCTGTTGGCTCTTCCTCTACCTGGGGGTGGGGGACACAGCACAGCCCCATGTACCAGGTGTGGGGTTCTACCCCTACGGCTTCCCCACCACTGCTGCTGCTGTCATGGGGGCCCACGCTGGCTGTACAAGTAGGCGCCACCCAGGCCAGCAAACTGCAGTCAGCCATTGCGTGAGCAGATGGCAACAGGCAAGCCATAGGCGCAGCATTGCCCTGTGTACTGGCAGCTGACTGCAGTTCGGCAGCTTGTGCGGCACCTACTAGTACAGCCAGAGTGGGCTTCTATGATGGCGGTGACAATGGTGGGGAAGCGGCAGGGGTGGCGGGGAATCTGTAGGGATAGTACCCTGTGCCTGGTGCCCAGTGCTGTACTGCACCTCAGGCTTCCCTGCTGCCACCACCTGAGGCATGGCCAGACACTGATACGGCATGGCCCCCTGAGGCGAAGGGGGTAAGGAGGGGGTTTATCCCTCCATCCCATCTTCTACTGGGGGACCACAGCTAGCGTCTGCTAGTCATGGCTGCCGCCTTTGTTGCTAGCCCCTGGCCAGGCAGACCCTGGCTGGAGATCCCATGGGGAGAGGGGATGGAGGGGAGAATAAACCCCCTTGCCTCCTTCACTGCAGGGAGCCATGCTAGGTCAGCCTCTGGCCACATGCCAGATGGCGGTGGCAAGGAAGCTGTAGGTGCTCCATGGCTTGGAGTACCAGGCATGGGGTGCTACCCCTGCGGCTTCCCTGTTGCCATCTGCCTGCCTGGCAGCTGACCACAGTTTGGTGGTGCAAGTGATGCCTACCAGTGTGGCCAGGGCGGGCCCCCCTGACAATAGCAGCAGGGAAGCCATAGGGGTGGAACCCTGTACCTGGTGCCTCATACTCAGGGCTGTGCCACCACTAGGTAGAAGAACAATGAGCAGGGCATGTCCAGCTTGGCGCTTAGTGGCCTGGGGGACAGGTAATAGCATTGGGGCTGAAGGGGCGAGCCCACACCATGTATGTTGCTGCAGGGGCTGGGGCCATCCTGGGCACCGCTTTGCAGCAGGTAAAAGGGGCTGACAGGGAGGAGCTTTCCTTTATGGAATTTGGCTCCTGGGCCCCTCCCGCCCTCCGATTGGGCCTTTGCTCCTGGGCTATCCCAAGCGAAATCCTGATGCCGGCACCTGGGAATGCACAGTGGGATTGCCCCCTGGCTGGGAGGGGGGCTCTGGGGTGTCCCAAGCCATGCTGAGCCATGAGCAGGGGGGAAAAGCCAGGTAGAGTTTGGCTGGGGTCTGTAACAGGGTGCCTGCTCAGGGTCGATCTCCGTGGCCCACCCACCTGTTCTTGGGCCAACCACCCGCTTTCTCATCCACCACGCCTTGATGTTGATTGATTGATTGATTAATTGATGTCAGTTAAGCGGAAGACTACCCATTTTGCTGCCCCGATGCCAGGTGGCACTCTCTGCGGCTCCTTTCCTCCCCTACACCGCAGCCCAAGCCTCGCAGATGGCATCTTGCTGTTCACATAATCACCGGCCCCCACACTGGGCCCCATAATCCTCCTAACAGGACCCCTCCATGATCCCTCCACTCAGGCGGCCTCCCCACCTTCATTCAGGCTACCTAGCCCCCTGAAACTATTTTCCCCTCTCGGGTGTGATCCCCCCAGGACCTCTGGCTACCAGCCCTGGCCCACCTCCAGGCTAGTCGGGACCCCAGGCCCCCAACTCTTGGGCATTCCTCGCAGTGGCCCCTGGCCCTTTTGACCGTCCTGGTCCTGGCCCCAGCATGGACCAGTCGAGGGTACTCTCTTGTTCGGGTCAAGTCTCTAGCCCCTCACTCTCTCTAGGGGTCTGCCCTCTGGGCCCTTCACACAAACACAGGGGTTACCCACGTGGTGGTGGGGGCTAGGGGTTAAGGTGCCCTGACCCACCTTTCACCGGGGTGGTAACTGGCCTGGCATTTCCTGGGGGCCCCCGCGCCACTGAGAGCCCCACCAGGCCAGCCACTCCCGGCAGGGTGCAGTTTTAGGTCATGCCCAGGACCAGGAGCCTCCTGACCATCCCCTACAGCTCCTCCCTTACCCCCAGATGATCTCAGCAGCCCTCTGGCCAGGCAGTTTTGGTGCCTGCCCTCCAGCAGCCGAACTGCCCTGTTTATATAGACAGCCCCTGACTCAAAATGGCTGCCCTCATCAGCCCAGCACCAGGCCCTTAAAGTGGCAGGCACACACAGTGCCCTGCTACAGGGTCCCTTCAGGGTGGGAGCTTAAACCCCCAGTAATACTTGCCTACTGGGGCCTGACTTCCCTCCAGCCTGAAGGGAAGGGAGGGCTCATTTTAGCCCCCCACCCTGCAGTTTCTAGCCTGAGCCACTGAAGGCACGTGCTTGAATTTCTGGAATCTAAAGTGAATGTCTATTCACTTGCAAATCAGTTCAATCTATGTGGGTTAGACTAACCTGGAAAGATTAAATCAATTCGGGTTTGGGCTTTTTGAATGTCTGTTCCTAGCCTTACAGATATATTTAAAATTCTGTGCGTTAGCTAAATTAGTCAATTCCTTTGCAAAATATTAGGACCCACCATTGGAAAAAAGTACTTTTGGAAAATGGAAAAAAGTGCCAGATTTTACAAAATCTTAGTAGTATAAGAGTACAGGGCTTTCCACCTTGTATGCTTGCTGATCCATCATGACTAAAACAAAACCCCAACCTTACTAGCGTAAGTTTGCATGGGCGGTTGAGTTGGCTTATTAGACACTTTTCCACATGTCATTCCCATGTAACTTTTGTGCTTAAAAAATCTGCAAGCAAACAGCATTTTGTGCATGTATTGTGAACCTGCGCTCCTAAGAATCTGTTTGCACCAACAATCAGGAACTAACGTGCTGGAGTTTTTCAGGGCCCGTTACATTAATATAAACGAAAAAAATCCATGCTACTCATGTGCCATAACGTCTTTGGCATTCCATTTAGCATATTTGGTACAGTTTTATTTCTCTAGCAGTCTTTCACTTCTTTATTATAAATGTTCATGTCTTTTTTTTAAACTGTTTAGAGTATTTACTGTGGTAACTTTTGCTAGTTAGTTTGCATGGGATTTAGTAGGTTTTTCTTTTTTCCCTTGCCTGGGTCTCTCTGTCCCTGTAGACAAACATGATTATCTTTTACAGACTTTACATATTTATGGATCATCGTCAAATGTCTATTATGTTTGTTCAAAATAATATTGTAGGTCATCCATTTTGTCTCTTAAATCTTTGCTGTTATTAATTGTGCTCATGGCTGAGTACAAAATAACATGCATAATTTAAACATTTAGGCTATATGCATGAAGACTTGACAGCCTGTTCTTTATCCACAGTTTTAGTTAATTAAATTATGATTGAGATGGTTTCATTTGGTGTTTGTAATATCAAAGTCACTCGCCCATATGCTTTTCTCTATATTTCTTAGCAGAAAATGTGCCTGCCTTTTGCTACCAATATAGTTATGTAACCCTGCAGAAATACTATTTTCTAGGGTGATGAAATAAATGCACTTGTCTTCAATAAATATTTAATTAATTTCTTTAAATTAGGCTGCAAGGTCTAGTGGCAATAATGTTTGAGACTCAATCACTTTCCTGTTCTTCCAAGGATAGTAGTGAGCCCCCACCTGGTAAGTCATCTGTCTAAACTTTTATATTATCCAGCTTTCAATTGATTTAGGCTTTGAAAGCCTTTTAAAAGGAACTAATTATTTTTATGAATTTGTAACTGATTTAATAATTTTAATTTTTTTTCTCTCTTCCTACTTGTAATAATGTTTGACAACTTTTGTGGAGCTAGGGAGAGAGGGCCCTAGTGACCTTAAATCCAGGCATTATCTACCTCCCTGTCTTTCCCCTGAAATCAAAATTATTTTTTCTGTCTGGAATAACTATAAAGTTAACTAGAATTACATATCACTTTTAAATTCTGCAGAAAATAATAAATAATTCTCTTTCTCATCAAAGTACATTTTACTTGCCATTCATAAGTGGATTTGTAAAGTTGTTCATGTAGTTTGTGGTTATAGTCTGTTGAAGATGAATTCTTGTTAAATAAGCTGACTAAAAAAATCATTGAGAAAATTTAACTTAAATAATATTTTAAAGAGAATCAAGAAATGCAAAAAACGGCAACATTATTTTGGCCACCTTTTTATGCATTTGGAAATGCATTTGAAAAATCCACTATTAACGTATTATAGATTTAACAAGGACAAAAAGAAGATTCTAAATATTTTCACCAAAGTTGAAATAATGTAGCTTTAGGCATCTTAAATCTTAGATTTTCTACTCTTTTTTTTTCTACTTGAGTTGTATAGACTTTGAGCCAGATTGTGCCTTTTAAGCACTGGTTTATGTAGAACATGATGCAGAGATTCAGCACTTTAGAGGAAAATGGAAAGAGTAATTGTGCTTCTGTATATAGGAGAAGTACAACTGCTGTACTACCTACCTGTTAGGGAGTGCAGCATGTGCACCTTGCACAGACCATTAGCTTCCCATATAGAGTCATCCAAAATTCCTTCCAGAGGCAGTGTTGAATGGTCACCTTAGTCAGTTATCCTGCCAATATTTTCTGCAAGCTGTCATTCCCATCCTGATGAGACTCTTCACCACGAATTGAGGTTAAAAGGTCCTTGGCTTTTATCTGGAATGGTTTGAAGTCACACAAATTTCTGTTTCATTTGCTGCCAAGACAATAAGTGAAACTTTCTCTGAGGGAAGAATTGTTGTTTTGTTTGTTTGTTTGTTTTGTTACATCTTAATTTCAGTTACAGTTATAGTTGAAATTTTTTTCAGGATACAGTGGGTAACGTGCAAGTAATGCAAAGCAGTAAACTCAGAAGCAGTTAGAGCCAGAGTAAACTGCTTCTGGGCACAGTGTCTACATGTGCGCCCAGGACAGCTGCAATTTGAGTTGGGGCAGAGCAGGCCCCTGGCTGGCTATGCTGACTGGGCACAATTTACACTCCCAGTCAGCATCTACACGTGTGTTTCAGTGCAGCTATTTACTCCTTCATAAGATAGTACTGTCCCCGATGATACTATCTTACAGCAGATTTAATTAGTTTACTGCGCCTTAATATGATTTGCGCATATGTAAACAGTGACACTTGATTGCATAGCTAATTAGTCTACTCTGCAGCAAAGCACGTGTTGATGCACCAATGACATTAATTAACCTCACATGATTTTATATCTAGGGGATTTACAGGACAGCCAATTGGAATTCTCTATACTACTTAAATGTGAGTCAGGTGGCATAGTCTGGGTCTGTATCAAGCTGTAGAACTGTATAAGGGGAGAGGAAAATTGAGTGGTAGTTTAACTTGAGTGACTTCATAAAATAATGTATTTTCAGGTCGTTTGAATTTTGTAAATAGGGTAATGTAAATGAGGTAGTTTCTAGAAAATGAAAAGTGTTTTTCTGTGCCTCCATCCCTTTTAAAAATAAAAGGTTACTCTGGCTACAGCCAGGTATAATGTATTCGGGAGCACTTCAAGTTTGCCTACAGATCCATTAGTGCCCTGTGATCCCTTTTATTTTAGTCTCAGCCTTTCTAGAGGAGAAAGTGGTAATCACATCCTATTATTTGTTGTCATTTTTGTTTTGGACAAGTCTGCTTGGAGGAACAGATGAAAACCATCAAACTCATTTCAATTATGGTAAATCTAGAGATGGGGGAGCATAATAAACTGCATTTTGGCCTTTTAAGCCCTTTGTCTTGTCTCTCTCTCCAACATTTTCCTCTTTTTATTTCCCCCTTTTCTTACATTTCCTTTGTCTCATTTTAGATTTTATTCCTTAACCCAGGGATGTCCAACTTATTTGGCTTGATGGGTCGGATCCAAACATCAGGGCTTCTCAGAGACTGGATCTCTGGTGGTGGGGCAGTAGCTTGTTGGTGTGGCTGACAGCCATTGGTTGCCATGGCCTTAGAACCAGGGGTAGGGTGAATGTCATGGCTGCTTACCCCCCTTTTCTGCTGCTGCCGACTTTAGTAGCCAGTAGTGACCAAAGACCCCAACTTAAGCAGTGGGTAAGGGCATAAGGGGGCAAGCTGTAGTGGTGTTCACCCCCTGAATTCTGGGGACGCACCAAAATGGAGGCTCCAGCAGCTGTGCTAACATGGTCCATAGCTGCAATTTAACCACTTTTAGGATGTGTGTGGCGTGCAGGACATCAGTCAAACAGGCCTGCTTTTAATCCGTGGCCATTTTCTACTTGTAGTTTCCTAAAATCTGGAAAGTTGGTTTGATTTGAGATTTGTTTTGTAAATCAGTGTAGGATAGAAGTTTGTACAGAATGTTTTAGAGTTAGGTGCTTTCTCTTTTTAGTCATTCACAGTATCTATATTGTTTGCAGATTTAAAAGAAAAAAAATCTATCCAGTATTACTAAATTGCTGAGTTTTGTACATAATCTTCCATATTCTTTTTTTTCCAGGCAAGAGCAAAGAGGTGCTCTTAGGTTATCCACCCAGGCGTCGCAGTTGCGCTTTGGTAAATACACCATCGTTATGTGTTAACAAAGTTATTCATCTTATTCAAGAGCTGGAAGTAAAGCTTGAAAAATTCTTTCAACAGGTACATATGAACTAAAAATGCCCAAATATTAGTACAGTCTTAAATTTCTAGATAACAAGATTATATCTTTAGAAAGGATTCCTATGTTCATTTTTAGACCACAACCTGATGAGCCATGATGACATGGTGCTAGTTCTGTAACTCAGAAATGTATCCCTTTAGATGTATGTTATTTTGGCCAAGTATGAAACATCCTCTTTTCCTAGTGGTTTGAATGATAAGATTCTGAATGACAGCTGGCATAGCTTTTGTCACAGGCAGGTCTTGGCTTACCAACCTCATCTCCTTCTACGACCAGGTAACTCTCCACCTGGACACGAGAGAGCAGTATGACATTGTATTCCTTGACTTCCAAAAGGCCTTTGATCTAGTATCCTATGTTGTCCTCATGAGAAAATTGCAGGATTTTGGGCTTAACTCCTAGACAGTCAGGTGGGTGAGAAACTGGCTGCAGGATAGGACCCAGAGAGTCATAGTGAATGGATGTGTCATCCTTGTGAAGTCGGCAGTGGTATCCCACAGGGGTTGGTGCTTTGGTCCAGTACTTTTCAACATCTTTATTAAAATGATTTGGATGTGGGGGTGAATTGCTCACTGGCCAAGTTCGTGGATGATACCAAGTTATGGAGAAGCGTGGTCATGCTTGAAGATAAGCTACAGATACAGGTGGACCTAGACAGGCTGGCAAATTAGGCAGTTTGAATCCTGATGAAGTTCAACATTGAGAAATGTAAAGTGGTCCACCTCAGGATGAGCAACCCTCAACACACCTACAGGCTTGCCAGCACCAAACTGACCAGCACCACAAATGAAGGGGATCTGGGGGTAATAATACACCACGGTATGAATATGAGCCAGAAGTGTGATACTGTAGCCAGTAGGACAAATAATACCCTGGCATGCATCAATCAGTGCATCTCCAGCAAAACCAAGGAGGTGATTCTTCCACTCTACTCAGCGCTGGTGCGACCGCAGCTGGAGTACTGCGTCCAGTTCTGGGTACCACACTTTAACAAGGACCTGGACAAGCTTGAGCGAGTCCAAAGAAGAGCCACCCGTATGATCAGAGTCTTACATGGCAAGCCATACAAGGAAAAGCTGAAGGATCTGGGAGTCTTCAGCCTGAGGAAAAGAAGGCTAAGAGGGGACCTGGTAGCAGCTTACTGCTGCACTAGGGGAGTACATCAAGGACTACATCAAAGGCTCGGTGAGCAACTGTTCACCAGGGCACCTGAGGGGCAAACTAGGAGTAATGGCCACAATCTCCTGGAAGACAGATTCAGGCTCACCATTAGGAAAAACTTCTTCACAGTCAGGGTGTCCAGACTGGAATAAACTCCCTCCAGAGGTGGTACAATCACCTACCCTGGAAATCTTCAAGAGGAGACTAGACGGTCACCTTGCTGGGGTCACCTGACCCCCAGTTATCTTTCCTGCTTGGTGCAGGGGGCTGGACCCGATGATCTTCCAAGGTCCCTTCCAGCCTTATAACAAATGTATAGGACTTTCTAAAAATGCCTTGCTAACTTTGGCACAGGGCATGAACATAGCTGGCAGCTAGTACTATATGTTTCTAAACAGAAGGCTGAAGAGAGAAGCAAACTGTAGGGGGAGAAGAGAGGCTATCTATGGGCCGATAAGCAGAGGGAAGTGGAAAATGCATAACTTGATAGTATGGTAGGAAATTTACAATGGTCATCTTTGGGAATGCAGTCAGGGCTGCTGTGAGAATATACCTATACACAGTACATGTTTTCTAAAATAGTAAATATATGTTTACTCTGCAATACCAATATATGAGCACTCAAATTAGCTAGCTCAGGCCCTTGTAGCAGTCTGTTCATAGCTGCATTGGGTTAAGCAGAGCTGTAACACCTAACAGGTCTTGTGTAAATACTTAGCCCTTAAAGTTTGACTTGTGTACCCATTCAACACTCCTGCAGTTGCAGTCTCTATGGGCTTTGTCAAAAGTTCTTTGAATTCAGTGGGAAGATTTCTTTTCACTATAGAGAGCTTTGAATTTTGCCACAAATTAAATTAAACATCTGCTAGAGAACTCTGCTGTCTTTAGAGAATAAATATTAAGAGGAGATAGTTAAGACTAAAAGTAAAATAAATTCTCAAAATTCTGGGATATACAGACACTGCAAAGTTAGGTTAACTTACATAGGTTGGTTCTATTTTTACTCACAGAATATTTTGGTTTACTTATTTTTAGCATAACGTAGGTCACTTACTGCTTAGATTTTATGAAGATAGGAATCAGTATTTTGGTATCATATGTTTTCTTTTCTTTCTGGATTTGTGTAGAGGTTTGTCTGAAAGGATATTGAAAGGTTTGTTTTGGGAACCTAATTCAAATTCATGGTTTTTGTTATTTTGAAAAATGGTCAAAACTGTAATTGTTTGATGTGTCCAGCTTGCAATATAAAGTTTAGTAGACTGTTAAATTTGTGTTAGAAATTAGAAAATCTATTTGATCCATATGTTTACTAACATTTACTTTTTTCCATTTGCAGTATGATCACATACTTAAGGAGAAAATTCTATGGTAAGAATCATACATGCATTGCATTTTAATGGCAATAATTGTTTGAGAAAGTAGACAAAGAAATACACATTTTATGAACTTTAATACTATATTTTTCCCTGCTTCAAATGAAAATAAAATTAGTATGCTTTCTTGTATAGTTTTTTTAGAAAACTAAAGGATTTGGGAAACTGGTAAGGGGATATGAAGCATCTCAACTAAATTTTCAGTTGATTTCAGTGGAAGCAGTTAAGTACTCAGTGCTTTTGGGAATCGGGTCCCTTCCACAGCTACCTGAATATGGATTTTTAAACTTTCTTATTTTTCTTTAACCTTGGTTTGGAAATACTAACTGCTAAGAACAGATTGTTTGTTGAACTCTACTTCAGTGAATGTTCTGTGCTATTTGTAAAATCATTCTGCTTAGTTTACAGTTTCTTAATTTTTGATTGATTTATATAAACCATTTACTGAATTTGTTTAAAAGGTCAGTTACTGTATTTTAACTCATCAAAGTTAAAAAGTCCATGATGTTTCAGATTTATGTTGTTCTCTGAGGCTATATACCCACATGCATATGGCTTAGGTCTGAAATACATTGGCCTTGTTTAGCTTGTTTGCCAAGAGAACCTTAATAAAGCAAATTATTTCTAATCCTATCATGTATTTTCAAGGTATTGTTCTGGTAGTTATCCCCAAGTAGTTCCCTGAAAGTGTTACTATTTGAAACCCCCTTGCCATCCAGAGCACTGGTCACAGATGCATCTGAAACAGGATTACTTGGACTGTCTCCAAGTAATGAGGGACATGTGTTTAATATGAGTGACATGGTCCCTGAAGAACAGAGGACTGCACATAAAAGTATTTAAACTACAGGCTGAGTGGCATTCCCCATTCTACAGTAATTAGTAGTCCACATACTAACCACCTAGCTGCATCTCTTCTACTGTCTATCAGAGTTTACCATGCAAGAGCACAAACAATGTCTTTGGCGTTTTTACAAAATGTTTCAGTATTGGAAATCTGAAAGACTTCTGCATGAATCATACTGCTCATATTTAAAGAATTATGCAGTAGATTTTGCTGGAAGATCTGATGTGAGATATTGGAGTCATTCTTCAATCCCTGTTTGACTCTGGCAGGCACCCTTCATTCTTGTCAGCCCACATTCTAGTGGGAGGCAAAGATAGGAAGTAGTGATGAAGTTTTCAGAAAGGAAGATTGTATATCCTTTCTGCCATCCTAAAGAAGATAATTCTTGCCAGTTGCCTAAAGTAGGATCTGTGTTGACACTTAACAAGTAACTATTTTTTTCTTTTTTATAAAATTAACTTTACTTCTGTAACGGTATAAAATAACCGTTCGTTTGAGAAGTAGTCATTATGGATCCCACAAATCCTTCTTTCTCGAAGCATATTGATCGTTGGCTAAAATGGGCTTTAGATGATAAAGAAACTCGGAGGGAGTTCTGGTTGCTTCACCTTTTGGGTCCTCTCAAAGGGTCATGAGAAGGTAAAGAACACATGCCACCGGTAGAGATGGATTCACACTGACTATAATATTTTAACTACAGTTACTGTAGAACAGGGAGGGGTGTCAAACTCATCAGGCCTTGCAGGTGGGATGCTGCATGCAGCATGCACTCTGGACCAGCCTTGTGTGCTGTATGCAGTGAGAGGCATACGAGGGAGGCAGAGCACTCCTACTAGGGATGCAGAGCCAGGCCCACATATCACCATGTGGTTGCATTGTTCAGCCTTCTTCCTTTGTGGATAAGTTCCTTCCTTACTGAGGACAGAGGAGGAATCCACATGCTAGACCCTCCTGCCATGCCTGAAATAGCTGTTCCTCTCGCATCAGCATTTCTGACATTATCTGCAAGCCAGCTTGGAGGAAAAGCACTAAGCAGGGGACTGTTTCTGCCTGTTTTTGAACTTGGGGCCTTTGTGAGGCAAACAGCTGCTATGCTACAAGGTATCAAGGTACTAGAACTCAAGGTACTAGAAAACAAGGTCACTGATCAGGAACTCATGGCTTGTGTGCAGGTCCTTCAACAGGCAGCTCTCTGCTTTAACGAATAGCAAATGTCATAGCTGAGATGAAGGGGAAGACTCCTTAGTGCCTTGCCTGGCATGTAGGCAGTGTCAGGTCCCTACAGGGCAGCAGTGGGGTCAGGAAGTATGCATGTTCTTGGTGCAGACACTGACTGCTGTAGTTTGTAAAGGCTATGGCTTGGGCAAATGTGAGTCCTTGCAGTCCCCATTCCTGAAGTGGAGTCAGCATTGGAGCTTTCCCCCTGCTGCTGACCTCCTGTGGGTTGATGAGGCTAGAGAATCATGGTGCCAGCACCCATTGCATAGGCGGGAACACCTCCTACATTGCCTTTCTTGCTGGGGACTTGCCTATGTCAAACTGGTTGGTGAACCAGAGACCATGTGACCATAGCCTTGGTCATGTACACACAATGGTACTTGGTGCTGTGTACCACCCCTCGCAGAAGCTGAACAAGCTCTCAAAAGCAAAAGTAGCAGGCTTTAACTCTGCTTCAGTGGGAGCATAGCATTTGGCATTCACTGTACCTACTGTACTGGACTTAGAAATCCAAGGTCTTCTCTGCATTCATTTCCTTGGACATTTCTTTCCATGTTACTTCACTGATTAGTTCCCTTAATTTGTCAAAACTTGTCCTTTGGAAATAATAATAGAAGTAATTATAGACCTACTTTTCTTATCTCCATTTATATGTAAGTGAGTCAACTCATGACTAAGGTTGTTTCTGATGGTGCCTTCATAAATTTCCAAAACCAAATCTAAAATAGTCATTCATTATGGGCTGAAGTAAAATTGATGAGTCTTTTTGGCAGTGGAAACTGTGAACAGATACACTGGCTCTGCAATTCCAGCCCTGGGGGTTACGGTTGGTCCTGGGTGGGTGTGGTTCTTCGGGTGGTCAGCCAATCAGTACTTTCCTTTGCTCTCAGCTGTCCTCTGGAATCTCTGCAGATTGTGGGAGAGGAAGCGGGTGCTTGCAAAGCACACCGGGATTCCCTGCACACCAACCCCCTAGCTCTGGATTGCCAGCACATATAGAGTCTTGGATGCGCTGGGGTGCTCTGGATGATCAGGTGCTTGAATGGCTGTACACACATTTCTTTCTGTGTTTTCATGTTGCTTCAAATTCCCCAGAAAATCTTCTGTGTTTCAGGGGTGTAGTTTGTCACTGTGTTGGTCTAAGGACATAGGCAGACAAGGTTCTTTGGGTAAATCCGATATCTTTTATTATCCCAACTCAGATAGTTGGAAACATTTTTCGTTGCAAGCTTTCAGGTACAATTACCCTTTGTCATGCAGAGGAAACGTCTGAAGATGGTTTGTGCTCTTCCTGGATGGAGCAGTAAAGCAGCCAGAGGCCAATACCTATGCAAGACAGCCAGTCAGTTAAAATGTAAATTGAGGTGGTCAGTTGGTGAGAGACGGGTCGGGGATAGGTGGGGGTAAGAAGGGGAATGCATATATTCATTCTCTTCCCCTGTCCTCCTGTGTCTCGTCCATTGACTAAAGCTACATTCATTCCCCTCTCTCCCCCTTCCTCCCCCCCACTTCTCTCTCACCTACCGACCTCCTCAATTTACATTTTAACTGACCGGCTTTCTTGCATAGGTACTGGACTTTGGCTGCTTTACTACCCCATCCAGGAACAGACCATTTGCAGATGCTTCTTCTGCCTAACGAAGGGTAATTGTACCTGAAAAATTGCAAAGAAGAATTTTTTTAACTATTTGAGTTGGTCTAATAAAAGATTTATCCAAAGAACCTTGTCTTCCAGAAAATCTTAGCGCTTCAAATGAATATTTGTCCATATCCATCCATGATATATTGCTCTGAGATCCCACCTGTCCCACCCCATTAAGTATGTTCTTTTTGGTAACAAACAAAGGATGGCCTTTCTATATGCTCAGTAAGGTGTCTACGGACTGCTGGGGTATGTATCGGGGGGTCCCACAGCTACCGTATTGCCTATTGATTGGGGAAACAGGAAACCTGCTGCTTCCACTATTTCCACTTTCTTCAGAAAAGAATTAGATCTCTATTGATGTTTCTGGTCTGGAAAAAGGTTCTGATTTTGCTACTGGCGTAGAATGATTCCCACCACTGCAAGTAGAGCTTTCAATTTTCTTAGCTATAGCATCACCTTAATAGCTGATGGTATTTTCTTTAAGTATCTGGCAGCAGTTAAGTGGCTGGGGACTCCCAAAGATTAGGTGATACACATATAGAAGTTGGCTTCCTAGCTGTCAAAAGACAACTTGACAAATAGGTATTGACTTATAAAATAAACTTGTAAATGTTACCCTGCTCAGTTAGTTACTCCTGAACTGTTGCTAGAAAAGCCAAGACAGAAACATAGGATTTTTCACACAGGATAAAATGTCACTGTTTCTGATTTTTTTTGCTTTTCAGTTTTAATATATAATAGCAGTAATGTCTTATTTTTCTGTCACGTCCTCTCCTTTTGAAATATGTTGTTGCTTTTCAGGTGTAGGTATTAAGAATAAGGTGTTTGCTTTTTATTTGTATATATGAAAGTAGGAACACTACCATCATGTAAGCAAAATTCATTCCAAGTAGTACCCTTCACTTCTTAGGTAAAAGTGAAGATAGATAGTACGCAGCTAGATAGTATTTTTCGAGATATAAAGTATTGACATTGGAAATGTGCATGGAATCAGATTTTAAACATTCATGAGCAGTGCCATAATGAGAGGGGAGAGATAGGGGCAACTATCCAGGACACCAGTTTTGGGGGGAGGGAGGTGGGCAATGAAAAAAGCAGCTTCTGCCAGCAACCTTACAGTTGCATTTGTGATTGTGATGGCAACCAGAAGTGACTTGACAGTGTGCCTACATTGCTGTTCCAGAGTGTCTTGCCAGATACCTGCGTGGAGCTACAGAAAGGAGGACAAAAACTTCTGTGTGTTGAACCTGGATATATGCCTCAAGAGTTAACAATCCATAGTAAATAAAAAGTTTAGAGAAGCGTATGTAGTATGAAATAAACTTTCAAAACAATACATAAATGGAAGGTGTGTAATTATAATTTTCTCTGTACTGGTTTCTTTACTTGTCAGATGCTTTTAATTCTGTTTAATTAAAATTGTAAAAAGTGTATGTTTTGATTTTTGTCCTAAAAAGGAATGCCCATTTGATAGTATCTGTTTAACAGCACACCATTTTGAATGATCAGATTTGTTCTCACATATGACTCTGAATTCAGGATTTCAAAAGTGGGAAAAGATGGTCAGTTATCAAGCTCCTCTCCATTGGATGTAAAAGAGACTCCGATATATTGTGAAGGTAAAAATATTTTATGGTAATTCTGAATAATTAAGTTTTTCCTTATTGAACATATTTTAAAACTGTCATAATGTATGTAACATGTAAATACTTCATAGATTTTTATATTTTTCATAGGAAATTTAAAAGTTATGTTAAGTACTGTTAAATTGTACTCATAAATTACTTTGTTTATACTGAGGCATATTGTGCTTCTGTGATGAAACCTTTACTATATTTTAAGACCTTTAGGGATCAAACTTACTAAGAATAGGTCTTTGGAACTGCTGGAAATTCCAGAACTCTTTTTCTTGGTATCTCCACAGACTGATTGCAATAATTCCACTGCAGAATATTCATGTTATTCCCTTGAGATAAAGGCTGAAACTCTTTCACAGTTTAGAACAATAAAATAGCATTTAGCTCGGACTTCTTAAAATACTGTTTTAAAAATAAAATAGACTTGACTGTCTGATTATTCAAAGCAAGCCAATTACAACTGTTGTAAATAAGTATCAACAGCTAGAGACTTCAGCAAATCCCATTGACTTCAGTGAGGTCTGAATTTTAACCCCAGCTTTTAAACGGTGTCTTGTCTTGTGCTTGGAGTTATTTGGACAAACATGTTTAGCTGAAAAATGAGGGGCACATGCAAAGCCCTAGAGACTGTATTTTAAAATAGTTTTATATGGATCTGATTAATAAATGAGAACAGCATTTTTCCCTTCAAAGATTCTTTTATGGACATACCAATTCCTTAGTGCTTGAAGCATTTTAGTAGTTTTTTTGACAGAGGTTAATTTTGGTGTTTAATTTAAATTCCAGTAGTTACACAGTGATGTTGATAGACCCCACTTAGTATTATCAGAACCTGATGTTTTGTCAGTGTTCTAAGGTAGTCGTTAGTTCTTCAGAAATTAGGAAAAAAGTTTTAAAGGAAAATAGAGACATTGTCAGTTGTACCTTATTAGGGTGGTCTTCCTGTTCCTGAGAGAAGCACAGAAGAGGTTTTTCCTCTAGCTATTTTACTATATATTTTCTCTATGCTGGGTCAGAAATAAGTGAGGGATATAGAGTACAATTTTTGTTTTGTGACTAATTGTATATGATCTGGTATATGTGAACAGGCCAACTTTACGTTGTGGATGAAGCTGAGACAGCATGTATATGTTTAAGTTTATATAACCTTTAAATATATTTAGACAGCAACATATTAACCTTGAAGCAGGAAACTGAAGCTCTATTATCAGAAGTCATTGAGCTAATTAAGCGGCTAGAAGCTGACCGTAAAGAGGCTGAAGAAGCTTTGAAGTTCGAAAAACAGCGCAAGAAAAACCTTGGCATGAAAATTGATTGTATATCGCTCTGGAGACTTCAACAGCTTCCTGCAGTGGTGCAAAAAGGTACTGGGGTTAAAACTAAGAATATTTGTTATATTGCAGTTAGTTAATTTTGAAGGAAAGACTAAGTAATTACAATACAGGCTAGAGTTGCATTGACTTGGATAGCACTGCAATGAACTATATTGTCTTACCTCTAAAAAATTAATTTACCTGAACAATTCTGCAAGAAAAACTACTGTGGAACCTTTGAGCATTGTATAAGAAATTATATAATAGTTATATAATTATAATAATATACATATAATTATAATACATGTAATTAATTATATAGTGTGCTTGCTCCTTGGCTAGAGAGCTACAAAGGCTCTCATCTCAAAGGCTAGGTCTCCAGCCAGGTGATGATAGGGCCTGAGGGGAGCTCAGTCACTGGTAGCCTGCCCCCTCTCCTGCTGCAAAAGGGGGCAGGCTGTCAGTGATCACCTGACAGAGCCCACAGTTGCTGGGACGTGCTGCAGGGGGCTGTGACAGCTGCTTTTGCATGATTCTGCTAATCAGCTTTTTGGCCAAATTGGATGGGGATGCAACCAGTGTGGCCAGCAGAAACCCTCCAGGCAGGGCTTCCTGACAGTTGGTTGCTGGGTGGGCTCTCAGGGAGCCAGCCATTTTCTTTTCTCCCTCCCCCTTGGAGGTACTAAGGGGGAATGGAGAACAGTGGGGGCCCTAAAGACCACATAATGCTCTGGAACATAAAAGTTTGTCTTTGAAAGAATTACTGTTTTTTAGTCTTTTCAGTGTCTTTGTAATGTTACAAACAGATTGAATGGCTGTACGCTTGTATTTTTGCAGCACTGCAAAGATATATTTAGCACTACAGTACAATGCCTGTGTATGACCATAGACCTGTTTCTCAAGAGTGCTTGGACACTTAGCTCTCTTTACTTCCAATAGGTATCATATTACCTCCATCAAAATATCTAATTTTAGAATTTAAAGACAGCAGTGACTAGTGTTACAATTGGGGAAGTTGTACAAAGCTGGTATAAACTCTTCTAATAGGTAGTGGATTCCACAGAAACTAGCTCTGCTCTCTTATTCACTCCTTCATTGTAAACTTTTCTAGCTTAAAAGATTGTTTGCTTAATGTACTGGACATTATTAGACATGAGTTTCATACTGCTCTTTATTTCATAAAATATTTTATAGTATTTCTTGTAACATATATATTTTCTCTAGTCTTTAAAAAATAATTTTCAGCAATCTGTTATAACTCCTAAAATATTTTGAATCCTAGCAACACATTTTATAAGCTCATTAAATATATGTTGCATGTGTGTAGGTGTGTGATATATACCCTATTTATATACATAGATCTATATCTATATATACACACATACACCACTAATTAGATTTTTTTCCCCTTTCTTTACAGAATATGAAGCTTGTGCTCAAGATATTTCAGAGTTGCAGTGGTATTTTGACTGTAAAAATCATCAGCTACAACAGGTACAAAACCAAGTGCTTAAGATAAAAGCAGTTAATAAAAAGATTCAGGAGGATGTAGACTTCATGAAGAAACACAGCCCTCTGCTGGAAGAAAAGCTGAATCTTGAAGGCAATGCTGTAAAGGATGTATTAAAGGAACATGGAGAGGTAAATAGAAATAATGCAAGGGTGTTTTTACTAAGAAGCACTCTAGTTATTAAGAGATACTTTTACAATAACCATCTATTGTTCATGCAAAATTTTTTTTTCATATTCTGTGAATGAGAGGATTGGAAACACTGCTGAGTACAGGAATATTCTGCTTGAATGTATTCTGTTCTGCCTTAATATTCCTTCTTTTTGGTTTTGTACATTGCCTTTATTACTAGCAGGTTTTCTTTTTTTCCCCCCTTTTTATCCTGAAAAAATTGTAAATTTGTTCCATTTAGAACAATTTGGAGTATTCTTCTAGAATTAATACTTTTAAACGTGATATAAAGGAATTGAAACACTAATGTTACATTTAAGATCACTGCTGTTTTTCTTTCTCAAATGTTCAGCAGGACTTGAAGCACCCAGTGTAATTGATAGAAAAGGTTATGAAGTTCAGAAAATAGAAGAAATATATGTTTTGTAAAACTAAACACATTTTCAAAAAATATTTTACACTGTAAATCCTGCTCTGGTCTCCAGCTTGTGTTCTAGTCATTTACTTTTTCTCCACTAAACTTACTTATTTATGCCCATTTTTCTCCAACTTCCCAATTTTAGGTACTGTTCCATTAGTTATATGTGGATGTCAACAGCATTTTTTATGGATTAAAAAAAAAAAAGAACCAAATTGAAAATCTTTTTACCTCACTTTCTAATCACGTAGCTGTAAAAGCTTATGAATTAAGGTTGGAAGAAGGCCTTGTAGTAACAAGTTTCTATAGAGATATTTTAAAACTTTTTGTATTGTTGCCATTTGGATAAATTAATTATACATAAACCCCAACTCAAGAATTATGAGAATAAGTGAGGTTAGAAGACAAATAATTCTCTTTTAAATATTGGGGAGAAAACTTAAAACAGGTAGGAACATTTTTTTTTTGCTCCAGTTATTCAAATTCAGTTAACGAATCAGGAAAATCCCAAATCTCTGAATAAAGGAATGTGCGTGCTGCTACTTGGAGATCTATGTAGGTGGACCCTTGTGTCTGTATGGAATGTCATAAAAGTCAAGAACAGGATGTTCAGATGGGACAGCAATAACTGGTAGAATGTCAGAGAGAGCTTGCATTTTAGGACTAGCTAACATGGTTTAAAATCATGTTAAGGTAAGCTATTGCTTAGCACACTTTTTGTTCATTAATATAGGACCAGCAATGGAATCTTGAATTTGTTTCCAAGATTCCTGATATGTACATTGAGGCAGCATAACTTTTTAAAAATGCCCAAGCTTTCCTCATTTCATATGTTATTATGACGATTCACACTAAACTGCTTAGGAAAAGCTGGATTGAAACTAAACTGCTGAGGTCGTAGAATCATAGAAAATTAGGGTTGGAAGGAACCTCTGGAGGTCATCTAATCTAAACCCCTGCTCCAGGCAGGATCATCCCCAACTAGATCATCTCAGCCAAAGCTTTGTCTAGCCAAGCCTTGAAAACCTCCAGGGATGGAAATTCTACCACCTCTCTGGGTAGCTTCTTCCAATGTGTTGTTATCCTCTTAGTAAGAAAATTCTTGCTTCCTAATATCTAACCTAAACTTTTGTTGGTGCAGCTTCAGACTGTTGTTCTTTATTTTGTCATCTGCCACTACTGAGAATAATCCAGCTCCATCCTCTTTTGAACCCCACTTCAGGTAGCTGAAGGCTGCTGTTAAATCCCCTCAGTCTCCTCTAGACTAAAGAAGCCCAGTTCCCTCAGTCTTTCCTCATAAATCATGTCCCCCAGCCTCTCACCCTTTTTGTTGGCTTGTGTCATTGGATCCTCTCCAATTTGTCGACATCCTTTCTGTAGTGGGGGGCCCAAAACTGAACACGGTACTCCAGATGTGGCCTCACTAGTGCCAAATACAGGGGAATAATCGCTTCCCTTGGCCTACTAGCGACACTCCTACTGATTCAGCCAAGTATGCTGTTAGTCTTCTTGGTAACTAGGGCACACTATTAGCTTATATTCAGCTTGCCCACTGTAACCCCCAGGTCCTTTTCTGTAGAGCTACTGCCCAGCTAGTCATCCCCCAGCCTGTACTAGTGCATGGGATTGTTCCATCCTAAGTGCAGGACTTTGTACTTCTGCTTGTTGAACCTCATGAGATTTCTTTTGGTCTAGTCATCCAATTTGTCTAGCTCACTCAACCCTAATCCTACCCTCCACTGCATCTACTACTCCATCCAGTTTTTCCCCAGGTGTGCCTTTTGACACCTTCAGTAGCACAAGCACCATCTGATTGGTTGGGAATGGTTTAGATAACTTAATTAAAAAAACAAAAAATTTGTTATGAACTCACATACCATGAGTTATATATGTTGCCTTTCCATTTTTCTGTCTTGTTTATTTAGATTATAAGAACTTTTGAGGTGTGAGCTATGTTTCCCTATGATAGATCTTTAAGAAGCACATAGCCTAGTGGGTCTTTGGCGGTGATTGAATATTTTGGTGTAGTCTTAATATATAAATAATGTATTGCATACATAACCCAGTTTTAAAGAACAGAAAGATCAAAGTCAAACAATCAAACTGGGGAAAGATCAGAATAAAAATTACCCATACAACTTCTGATTTTATCCTTGTAGTCCCCATACATTATATTTTAATTAAAAAGTTGCTATTTTTTCAGTGATATCCCTGCCTTATTCAGTATACATCATGATCAGGGCTCACAGAAGTCATAATCAGTGTATTTTATAACATTTCGTTGTATTGCACTTCCTGTGTCCTGACAGGGTATTTAGCAGAATTCACAGATTTGTTGGAATCTGAGCACTTCTAAAAGCTCTGCTGTGGCCTTGAACTTGCAAGGTCCGGACTGTTAACTAACCTCCTAAGTGCCTGTGCCACCCAAGTTCCCACTGTGTTGTGTCCAGCATTATTTAATACATGCCATCCAAATTGTTTACTTGGATGAAAAAATATCCATTTCCTTTTGTACTTTTATGTTGCTATCTTAGTATTTGAGTGTTTTACAGACACCACAGGCAATAAATCCTCTTCATATCAGTCTGAATAGGGGAGGTGGTAATATTGCCTCACTCTTCAAACAAAGAATCAGGACAAGGAGATTAAAACAAATTTGTCAAAAATGTCCAGGTATTTTAGGTACCTGGTTGGAGACATGTACAGCTATGTTTTTTTTTTCCCCCAGAGTACTTAGTGTCTTTATTGCATGTTGTATGTTCAAAACATAGCTAAAAATTACTTCAGTTACCCTTTTGGGCATTAAGCACTTTTACAAATCTGATTGCAGTTACCTTAAGTTGAGCATCCAGGGTATAGAAACATAATTATAGTTATTTAAAGTTTTATTGAATTGATTTGTCAAACATCACAAAAACTTTGTTGCATAAATAGCGCACTTTAATCCTCAGATAATCTTTATCATCCTGCAGTTCTCTCCCTCATTCACTACATACTTTCCATAAGGCAAATGTACTAATGAAAGTAAATTTAGGCTGTGTCTATTATGAACTCAGCAGCCTAGTGAGCTGGCTTTAAAAAAGCTAGACTGGATATCTCAAAAAAGACTAAACTGGGAGGGGAACGTACAAATGTTCATGCTTGCAAGGGAGATCTTCCATGTTGACACATAGAAGACCTTTCTCCTGGAAGGAGCTTGTTGAATGAATGTTTGCGCACACAGCTGTAATCTTCTTCAAAGGGAATTTACAAAACACCTTTTGTAGATGAGCCTACGAACTTCACGTCATAAATCTAATGGATACAAAAAATCATAGACTACATACAGGCATTGGATTTATGGCACATTGTAACCTGCCTGCCATCTGATAACCCCAGGTAACCTCTCCATATTGTACTAGCTACATTCTATCACCAGGTCAACATTTCCCATCCCCCCCACACCTACCTGTCTCGCGCCTATTAACTGCCATCCCCTCTGATCTTCCCTGCCATGCATTTGCATTTTCATAGATCTGCATTTTGCATATTGGCTTGAGCTTCTATTCCACCCAGGAGAGCACGCAAACACCAGCAGACTCTCTGTATGCCTAAAGAAGGGTGTTTGTACTTGAAAGCTTGTAAAGAACAATATTTGTATTTAGTTGGTTTAATAAAAGAAATCACGTTTACCCAAAGAACCTTGTCTGCTTGTATACTTGTCATTTCTACTAGGAGAAGAAAGATGACTTTTCTCTGCTCCTATTGTCATCTCCTCTTGTTTTCATCCCTCATTTCTCTGCAGTCCTTTCCATTTGCATTAGGTTGTGCCTTCTTTCTTTCCTTTGGGCATGAACAGTAGAAACATTAACAGTGAAGAGACATTCTCCTTGCTCTCTGTAACAATGCCTGTTCTAAAGCAAGCCTTAGCAGTGGGAGGAGCACTTGCAAAAAAGGTCTTGTCCAGTCAGGGTATAGCAGCTGTATGGAAATGCAGCTTCCTTAGTGCAGTTAAAATCTTAAGAGAAAAATGCTGTTAGTGTCTAATAAATGTTTGCTGAACATGTATAGACTGTGATTTTTTGCATGGCTTATACCTTGGTCAAATTTCAAAGCAATGGTTAAGGTACATCTCTTTAGCAGGTATAACTCCTGTTAAATTTCCTATAGTTTTCCTTAGTTCTTTCTGAGGAAAAAAATGAACATCCAACATGAAATTTCAGCCTGAAACCAATTCATATTTTTTCAAAATTAAAGGCAGCTTCAAAGAGGTTCTTTTATTAGAAAGTTTGAATAACCTTAACTATAGGTATAACTCTTACTTTGGGTTATATTTTTCTAAGATGTATAGGATTCATTTTAATGACAAATTTGAGGTAGACCTGTTTCTGAATAATGGTTAACAGTAGTTTTCCTAATAAATTGCATTTATGTAATAGCATGAAACTTTGGATTTAAGATTTGTTATTAATAAGCCCTGTTTTATGTATGCGTTTTTTCTAAGTTCTTGTATTTTTAAGTAAGGAGTCAACAATTATATATCAAAATAATTAAACTTGTCATAAAAACAATTGCATTTGAGAAAACTGCACAAAATATTTTGACTAACTTTCTTCAACATGATATTGGTCCATTTCTCTCTCAGTTAAAACATCAGCTGTGACCACTGCATCATAACAATACAATATATCTGAATCGGAGCTGGTAGTAATAGTAAAGTTTTTTTTTTTGTGGGTTTTTTTTAAATCATTCTTATAAAGTCTAGGAGTACATTTCTGTGCATACTGAGGTTATGTATAATTGAGTTGAGTATATACTCTATTTTTAAAAACTAACATTTTTGTTATATCAGCTTTTGAGGGTATTTTCAGACTATTGGCTAATTAAAGGTTACGCCGTTATCTTTTTTATTTTATTTCCCTTCTCCCTGTTGTTGCCTTGGGAAATACTTGATGCAGTAAAAATGTTGAGATGATCTGAAATGCAATTTGGAAAATAGACTTTTTAAAAACTTCTTTCCTAAAGCAATTTTAAATTAGTACTTTTTCTAGTATTGAATTTTTTCTTTCCATTGTTACATGGAACAGCACAAAAGAAATCTAAACATAGCAGTTGTAATGCTACTTAATATGGTAAGGATGTTTGTTCTGTGTTGTGACAAATTATTTTGTCTCAAAGTTATTAAATTTTAGAATAAAATATTCAAGTCTTGTAATGTGCTTTAATTCATGTGTTTTAAATTAACTGATTAATCCAATTTTATTAGTTTTACCTTCTCAGTTCCCTTAGATCTTGGCAAAAATATATTAAGCATATATTTTCTTTTTTCAGAGAAAGATTTAGATTATAGCATATTCCTTGTTTTGCTGTAACGTGAATTTAACTATGGAGGGATTTCTCAAAGGCAAAGTTATTATAGGCTCAACTCATTTTGAAAGTTAATGGGAGCGGACTGCTTCACTCCCATTTATGCCATTGAAAATCTCCCTCATTGTTCACATTGTCTCAGGGTGTCTTTTACATAGGTGAATGTCAGGCCTGTACACTCACTCTGGGACCTGTAAGTAATGATCTGTCAGGTGGCTGATTAAAGCCTTTGTGGCTTCTTTCAGGTTTTTGTATTCTGCTGCATAGGTCACTGTCTTCCCATGCAAGTAGGCACCTTTTCATAGAAAACTTTCAAATGTTTCAACAAAATGAGTCTTTTTGTTAGCTCTTGCTTCCTGATGGTATAAGACCCTATACCTGCTCTGTTATTTTCTATTTTGACTATATATGTACTTCATGCTTTATTTGTTGTGGAGCGTTATGACATCATAAAATACTATATTCTCACTTCAAAATTGGAACCAGTAAGTCATAAAACAGAACAGTTTTTGTATGTTAGAATATAATGCAAATTTAATCACAAAAAGTTGTAGAAGATTTGTTTTCTTTTTCAGGCATCAGAAATATATAACAATATTTATCAAGAACTTATGAAAGTCCAACAGACTTATAAACACATCTATGAAGAAGCAGAGAAGGAGAGAAAATCTATGTCTCAGAAAATTAAATATGCTGAGATGCTTTTGAATCAATATGAGTAAGATTCTTTTAAAATAATGCTCTATTTCTACATTTTGGTGGTTTTCAATGGTCTGACAATTGAGAAGCATAATGTGAAGCACAATGATCTACATTCAGAACATATGTAAACATTGAACATGGATTTTCTATAGATTTTGACATTAAAAGTTGTTTAGTGGAGTGATTTAAATGAGGAACGTATCTTAGGCCCTAGATGCATGTTATCTTTGTAATGCTATGACATGTAGAGTGCTACAAAAATAGATTATGTGAAGGCCATGCCTGCACAGTTCCCTGACTGGAGTGTAACACTGTTGCCACAAAGGCATGCTCTCCTTTCAGCAGACAGCAAGGGGGTTGATTGCTCCTTAGCTCCTCCTGCCCCTATTAGTGAGCAGGATAGACTTGCTGACAGGCTCACCTGATCAGCTGTTACTCCTGTAGCAATGGCTGACAGCTGCCTGAAAGCCACCCTTGGTGGCAGTAGCTGATTGGGCTGCCTCTGTAATTACCCCTGTCCAGGACAAAAGTCCAGTTGATTTCAGTAACATAGCATCAGGCCCCAAATAAGGAATGTTCTTTAAAAAAAAAAAAAAAAAAAAAAGGATGACTAATTTTGTTTTCAGGTTTCCTGCAAACCAATTTGGAGGTTTGGCTCTCAGTATAGAATCCCTCTGACCTTTTCTGAATAACTAGTTGTAGAGAATATTGTTAGCAATGGCTGTAGATCAGGGGTGCCTCAGATCCAGGTCCAGCTTGTGGAGCCATGTAATTTGATTTTCGTGTATCCCTAAGGGTATGGAAATTTGATAGTGGGAGAGTGGTGGCAGTTAACACTATTATCACTCCCCTGCCACCAAATTTCCAAGCCCTACGTGGCTGGATTGAACATGGCCAGGCTGGCCCCATGCAGAGAGATTGGGCCATATTCCTGTATGGGTGAATCAAGTTGGGACCTGATCCATCCATGCAGAAAGGACCTGGCCAGGGCCCAGTGCAACAGTGTGCAGCCCAGCTGGGGCTTTATGCAGCCTCATGAGATCAGGCTGCAGCTGGGCTGTTCCTGCGCAGCTGTGTCAGGCCCTGGCCAGGCCCTTCCCATATGGTTGCATTGGCCCCAGTCAGGCTGTTTCTGTGCAGCTGGATCAGGCCCTGGCTGAGCTAGGACCACATGCTGGATCAGGCCTATGGGCCAGATCCAGTCCACACATGGACTTGGACTTGGCACTGCTCATCTGGCCTGTGGTCTGAAAAGGTCTGGCACCACTGGCATAGATAAATTGCTGATCATAGTTTATCTGCTTTAGATGAGTGCAAACTGTTTAGAAACATTTAAAAAAATGTGACTCTAACTTTTGCCTTAACCAGGTTTTAACCATAGTTTCTGAACTGGTACTCGGCATAGCATGTTCCAGTTTACACTTGCATTTAAACCATGTTTAGTCTCAGTTCAGCTGAATCTGCTGCTTTTGGCAGAAATTGGTTACTTTTCTAGTGTAGGCATATTATAATCATTTGGGAGTTCGGAGTCTAGAATACTACAGGAAAGACTAAACAATTAGGAACACTCATTCACTAACCTGCACTGTTGATGACTAGATAGTTCAGTCATTTAAGTTGGTTAAAAGGAAAATTGATCAATTTTTGTTTATTGCAGGAGTGTAAACAAAGGAATTGTTATTATGCTGGATGAAATCCAAATCCATTATGTTTTATATCTTGTTTCTGGCATTGGTCAAAACCAAATATACAGGAAGGTATAAAAATTCTGTAATAGGAAGATATGGTATAATCTGCATTTCCCTGGTCTTTGAGGCCCCTTCTACATGTGCAGGTAATGGTGTGATGGGAATCTAAAGCACGATCCACATAATTGTGCCTCCTGCTATGCATGAGGCATGATTGTGGGATCATGCATTAGATCCCATCCCATCTTATTGCTGGTGGTACAACTATGGCCAAGAGTCCTGTCAGTTGTGGGGACTCTTGGCCCCAGAAGCTGGGGGATACTGTTGTGGTCTCCTAGCCATGGGGGACTGCCTATAGGTACAAATTTAAAGCTAGATAGAATGAGGTTGTAACGTCTATGGGCCCCACGTCCGGTACCACCCTTTGTCTGGTAGCCCCTCCCCCTCATCCCGCCTGCCACGACTTGGATGTTAAGTGATTCGAAGGAGGGGTTCAGTGGAGATCTTCTGCCAGAGGGGCTTGCCCGACGTGAAGGGGGGTACTCACGGTTGGGTCCTCAGATGTTCCACGGGGCTCCGCCACCCCTACACCCCGTCCACTCGCCAACCGGTCACTTGTTGATGAGAAGGTCATCTGCCGCTACTTGCAGCCCTTCTTATTGACAGGCCTCCCCGAGACCAACGGTCGTCTTCAGGCAGCCTGGCTCAGCCTCCGCCTGACCCGGCCGCTAGCTCAGGTCCTTTCCTTTCTTTTCTCCCTGTTCTCAAAAATACTGCTCCTTAGGAATGGGGGAACTTCCCGAGTTGCTGCTCTGGTCCCAGCAACCCCTGGGGGTCACTCCTCCTGCCCCCACCGGGGCTTCCGGCTCTTGCCTCAGCTGCTGGGCTGATGCCCAGTTGCCTGCCTGAAGCTCTGGCTTTGGGGAAGCCGCAGCGGCAGCGGCGGGCCGGCCGCCCCCCCT